GGGGATGGGGGGGTGAGACACCCCATTCCTCTTTCCTTGGCTCAGGGCCAGCTGACTCCTGGCCCAATAAGGGCATTGTTTCTCTCCAGCGTCCCCAGCCTTCTTTATGTGCTCCAACACTTCTAGGGAAAGGGGATCCCCTTTAGCCTTTCCCAGCCATGTACCCCACAAACCTGGATCCATAGCCCCGTCTCGGGGCTCCCTCTGCCAGGAGGCCACCGGTGCTGTCCCGGCACTGCTCGAGGTAACGGCGGCTCCTGCCTTCAGCTCGTTATCGGTGCTGCCCAGGAGGGCGTCGGGCGACTGACTGTGGGGCTCACCCTCTCCGCCCGGAGCCAGGGCTGGGAGAGCACCCGCATCATTCTCGGAGGCGGCCAGATCTGGGGGACAAGAAAAGATAGTGTTGGCGGAACGATTTCGCGGACACCACTCTTTGTGCGTCTATCCAGGTCCTGGGAACACGCGTGGGGAGCTGTGTGCTCCTGAATGACAAGCGGTTCGTGGGGTCCTGGATGTGGGTTTCCAGACACCGCCCCACCCCACGAAGCGAACGCCCTCTTCCCCCGGGTTCCCGCACGAAGGATGAGTCAGAGACCCGCGGCTCCCTCCGACCCGCCATCTCTTCACCCTTCGATGTTGGTGGAGGGTCCAGTTGCGTCAAAATCCCCTAGCGGACTTTGAGAGGCGCTGGATCTGGGACAAAGAACTGTGTGTGTCCCAGTCAGCCCAGACGCTGCGTCCCCTTCCTAGGCTGAGCCCGGGCGCCGCGCATCTCCAAGGGTCGGTTCAGCCGGGATGCGTCCTGCGCGCGTGGGAGCAAAGCGGGACCCACAACTTCCAGAGCGCGAGTGAACACGAAAGCCGCAGGCTGGCTGTGTGGCCGTCCCCCGGGGCCTCACGAAGGCGAGCAGCTCAGGCTCTATCAGCCACCGGAGGGCAGGGAGGGCGTCCCTACCCAGTCTGTCTGGTGTGCTCGGGAAGGCGCCCATGCCGGTCCCTATAGTGGCGTGTGGCGGCCCCGCAAACACGGACAACTGAGCACTGGGTTGGCAGTGACTCCCAGGGATCCCTCCCTCTGGCCTCAAACTTTTCGCACAACTTCGCCACGGCGCGAGGAGGGCGCTGTGTCTCAGCTCTGGGCAGGCCACGCCCCGCGTTCCTGGAGCTCCTAGGGGTGGAACCTGCCCTGCGCACCGCCCTGATTCCCATCGCCCTGGACCCCCAACACGGTCAGCGCCCACCGCTCCGTCCCGCGCAGATTTGGGGGCTGAATCCTGGAACGCGATCGCGTGCCTCCGCTGCAGCCAGGCTGGAGGAGCCGCGGAGGGTCGGGGTATCCCGAGCCCGGGCCTGGGAGCGGAGCGCAGCGGAAGCAGCGTCTCGGGAGCGCGCAGCCCAGACTGAGGCGCAGGGGCATTGGGTGCGGGTGGCTCTGAGCTCTCTGGGGGACCCTGAGCTGCACCTCCATGTGGCGACCCCACTGCGCTGGTCGTGGCCAAGCCGATCTGCATTCGCTGTATGCAGCAGAGATGCGGCGCCTCTTTAGTTTCGGTAGCCGGGGTCCAGCTACTCAGACTTGGAGACCCAGGCCCCTCCTGGTGTCCCTCCTCCTGGACCAGCTACATTGTGTCACCCGCCCACTCGCGAGCTTCTCGCTTCCTTCCCTGCTGTCTCCCGTGGAGGGTTTACTTTTCGCTTCCTGATGCGGCCGCGGAACCACTTGGCCACCGAACCCGGGACAGCCTGGCACGCCTTCCTCGGGAGAGCTGGACCGGCCTGGGGACTCGGAGTACAAAGTCGGGAGGAGGAAGCCTTGTCAGCAACCTCAGAAGTTGGATCCTTTCCCCCAAGGAGGGACGCTATGGAGGCCTGGGATGCCGCCTGCAGCGGGTAATCCGGATCCACGCTCCTCGCCAGCTGGAGGACCCAGCTGTGGACTGAATTCAGTGTGGACTGAATCCGGGGTTCTAGTCCCGATTGGAGAGGCAAGCGTGGGGGGGGCGTGGTCCCACTGCTCCCCACCCCCTCCCGCGCGCTCCTAGCGAAGATGCACACGCGTCTAGGAGTTTTCGCTTCAATGGAGATAAACATCTTATGGAGATAAGCGTGGGTCCTTGTCTGCAATATATTTCACAAGTGACCTGGAGCTGTCTATGACTAACCCGAGTTAAATTCCTGGAAGATTATTGGCGGACACTGGGAGGAAGAAAATGCCAAGTCC